GGCCTCCTCTGTGAGCCCGTTCCTCTTTCCACGCTGGTCCAGCCTCCACTCTGTCACCAGGTTAACGTCCCGAATGACAGCTTTGATCTCCTTACTGCTCAACACCCAGGTCTTGTCTGGGTCTCTTTCTCTTCGATAATGAAAGCCATGGATCTTAAGAGATCACACCCTCTGGCCCAACCTCCCATTAGAACTTTCACTTTTTCTTTTTATCTTCCCTATTCCTGGCATGCAGGAGGTGTCCAGCAAACGCCGTCGTGTGGTCAACCCAGATAAGACTGTTGTCCCTTCATAAACCTGCGGTGTCTTTCCCTGCCTCTGTTCCTTTAATGATTCTGTCATACCTGCAGAACACCTCCATCCCCCATGTGTTCTCATCTGAACATCTGGATTAACTGCCACGCGGTTCATGCAAACATCCTAGATTCTCCACCATGGAGAAGTAGCCTCTTCCCACTCCTGTAGCTTTTGGGTGTCTCTTTGCAGATCCATCCCATACAGTTGCACAGGTTGCTCACCATCCAACTCTAAGGGTACCCTTCACTTAGTGTCCGTTCCCATGTCTCCCCAGGAAGTGTGCAGTTCCCGACATCTGCAGTTGTGTGAGATAGCCCAGTGCCCCGCACACCCGCGCTACAATGTTTATGTAGCTAGTTGCATTCTCTCTTTCTCTGTTTCTGCTAGCCTGATAGCTGCCCAAAGAGAGGAGAGGTCAGCTCCTGCGTCACCTAAAGCCCCGTTATGCCTCACGTGTACTTACTGCGTGACAGCTCTTTGTTGCATGTTTATTCATTCAACTCATTTTGGGGCTTATGGATGGAGGAACGAATTGAAATTACTTGTTGAAAAGTGACGTAAAGCAGTAGAGAAAATAAGTCCCCTAAGTTAACACTGGCAATGGTGTGGCCGCAGTCCAATCAGGGTGTTATATAACAAAATACCACAGACTGGGGGAGCTCACAGAAAATAGGCATTTATTCCCCTCAGTCCTGGAGGCTGGGAAGTCCAGGGTCACGGCACCAGCGTGGTCTGGTTCTGGGGGAGTCTGCTTTCCTGCTTTATGGTTACAGGTTGCTGACTTGTGTGCGTTCTATAATGGCAGGAGAGTGGGGGCTCTCTATAGCCTCTTTTCTAGGGGCACTGATCTCTCTACCCTCACCTACTTTGGGAGTAGGGCCTCCCAAAGGCCCCCACGTCCTGATAGCATCACCTTAGCGGTTAGGGTATAACATAGGAATTTGAGGGGGCAGGAGACAAACGTTCAGACTGTACTAGTGGGTAACATGTATTAAAATCTTACCCACCAGGCACTTTGCTAAACGCCTTATCTATACATTATGTTGGGGCACCTGGGTGGCTCAGTCACTTAAGCATCCAACTTCATCTGATGATCTCGTCATGATCTCGTGGTTCATGAGTTTGAGCTCCATGTCAGGCTCTGTGCTGACAGCTCAGAGCCTGGAGCCTGCCTCGGATTCTGTGTCTCCCTCTCTCTCTCTCCCTGTCTCCTGCTCATTCTCGTGCATGCACGTGCTCTCTCTCTCTCTCTCTCCCCCTTGCTTTCAAAAATAAATAAGCATTAAAAAATTATATATAATATGTTTATTAATCTGCACAATGTGGTATTGTTTACTTACCATTACCATCCCTGATTTGAAAATGAATAAATTGATGCCTAGAAAGATGAAGTAACTTGCTTATGAGCCTTCAGTTGGTCGTTCATGAAGCCAGGGCTCCAACCCAGACGTTCTGGAGCAGAGCCCCCAGCTCTGAAGCATTGACTCCTGTTACCATTCTTACGGTAAAGTTAATGGTGACCTAGAAGGAGGGATGTTGGCTTTCTTTTCCTGTTGCACAAGTGTTTGTTGAGCACCTTTTATGTGCCAGGCTCTCTGCTGGGCACTGAAGATGGAAGTGAAAATATGGTTTCTGTCCTCGGGGGCCTCACAGTAGAGAGGAGGAGCCACATGTTTGAGTAAGTATCGTAGTGCCGCGCTAGAAATGGTAGTCATGTTCTTAGTCTTATTCGTAGGAGAGGCCAGGTTAGCAGGAAAAGGGATGAGGATGGGCTTAAAGGAGGTGTCCTGGAGGAGATGACTTGGCAAAGGGAAGTTTGAAGGATGACCAGGAATTCATGGGACCTCTAAGTAGGGGGCGAGTATTCCCTGGAGAGTGAGCAGCACATGGAGATGCAGACGTGTGGACATCGTGATCGTGTAGATTGGTCTGTTTGGTATTGCCACTCCGTGTCTAAAATTATGCCGTTCCTCTGTCGTGGATACAAATGCCAGCTGACAGTCACACAGCCTTGCCCTTAGCCATTGTGGACACATAAGTCTCCATTGTGGCTCCTGTGGGACACAGGGGTGGCTGTGCCAACACCGAGGGTTAAATGCACCTTTCTGTCTTCCCAGCGACTCTTGAGTAGCTGTTTCTCACTTAGCCTTCAGGTAAGTCACTGACTGATAAACATGCCCCCGCCACTGCCACCGATCTTCCCTGGGGCCACCTGGTAGCTTCCTATGGGGAAGCTTCTCATAGGGCTTCCAGGGAATGTTATAGGGCAGGTATGCCCCCTTCCTCTTGAGTATAGATCGTGGGGGGAGTTTCCATTTTTCAGGCAATGGGTCTCCATGGAGAAATTCTGCAGTACTGATTGTGTCTTGTATTTATTTATTCAGTTTATCACCCTTGAGGACCTGTTATGTATATGGTAGGTTGGCCTTGGATAATAAGTGCCTTTGGGTCCAGACTCATCCATTCTACTCCACCTGCCTTTACCACCCTCATCTTAAACTTAGTGCCTCCAATCCTAAACCCATCATCTTCTTCCAATGTGCCTTTCCTCTCTTACCCCCTGTCCTGGAGTTACCACCACCAACCCAGGAACCTCAGTGTTTCCTTCTGCTTCTTTTTCTCCATTTCCCCCCATAGCTAAGTCTCTTTTCCTAAAATCCCTCTAGATTCAGCTCCCTTATTGCTCTTCCCCAGACTCAGTCCTAATCAGATCCTCGCTTCACATTCACCTAGTCCTGTCTTCTAAGTGATGTGTCTACCTTGGTTCCCCTTATCTGTCCACTGTCTGTCACCCATCCATCTATTCAGTTCAGTTATTGAACTTTTTCTACATTCCATGCACAGAGCTAGATCACAAGGTGATCCGTTTGAATGTTACTGGCACAACCCTTGACCTCCCTAAGCTCAGAGTCATGTGGGGATCTAGACAGGTAAACAGGAGATCAAAACCTAAGGATGGGTACATGGTACTGAGATGGCTATTTGTTAGAAAGGCCCTTGACCCAGTCATGGGTTGTCAGGGAAGGACTCTAGGAGAAAATGGAGGTAGACCTCACAACTGAAGGCTGGATAAGAGATAGATGCTGACTGGGCAGTATGAAGGGTAGGAGAGGAGAGGGCCAGACCATGAGATTTGCAAGAGCAGCGATGGTGTGTCTTACCTTGTCCCCAGCATCCTGCTCATCTCCTGGTAAGTAGTAGGTGCTCAATAAGTATTTATCAAATGAACAAATGCAAGAAGGTTTCTGACAGAGCAAACCAAACATGCAAAGGCCCAGGTGAAGACAGAGCACGGCAGCATGGGAAACTGAGAGAAGGTCTAGAGCAGGGCTGGGGAGAGGCTGCCCACAGGGCCGGGAGCTAAGAGATCAGTCATGTTGCCCCTGCACCTCACTGATGAAGTCTTAGTCTTTAATTGCGCATTCACGGCACTGCTTCCTGCACTCTGTCCTCCTCTGCTCTGACCCTCAAGTCCCAGCTAACCACTTGTCCCCACATACTCCGGGCACGCCCTGGGCTCTGGCCGTAGTCTCCTGTTACTCTCCTCGGATTGTGTCCTCCTGTCCCTTTGCTTCCTGTCAAACTCCTTTATCTTTTGAGGTACCGCTCCCCCAACTCTTCCTCGTCCCCCTGAGCCAGTTAGAATTAGCCTTTTTCTTTACTCCCATAGAACATTGTGTTCTGTTGTGGTTGTTACCAACATTATGGTCTACGTCTTGTTTGTATTTAATCGTGGATCCCCTGTCCCTCTAAAGACTGTGAGCTCCTTGAAGTCAGGGGGACCAGGTCATTCTCCTCTTTCGATTTTTCACAGCTGCTCACTGTGTGGTGTTACAATCTATGCTGCTGTTTTTACTAGCTCAGTAGTATTTATGAGAGTAGTCCTCCTGGACTGAACTATGGCTTTGTGCCTGGTGCTTTCTCAAGAGGACATATCTGCTATTTATTGTCCTATCTGTGTTTATTATTGATATGCATCATGGATTATACTTATCAACACAGTAGCCCGATAAGGAGCTTTTTCTCAACGTTTTACAGAATGAAGAAGCAGCAGTGCAGAAATAGAAGTGGCATGCTCAAAATCCCCACTAACATATACCACAACTGAGACTTGAGCCCATTTCCACTTGACTCCAGAAGCTTTTCCCACATGTGATGCTGGTTTGTATTTGGGTGTTGCCTCAGTAATGGCTGGTTGACGGAGGTGGAACGAAGAAAAGCTGTAGGAATATTAAGTGAGAGTAAGCTGATAGTGATGCGAGCCCCCACTGATGCCATCTTGGATGCCTGGGTTTCTTTTGGAGAGGAGCAAGCAGAAAACAGAACTCAGAATCTTCCCAGTTGCATTCAGCCAGTCCAAAGACCATTTTCTGTCCATGTGCTTCTGAAACCAATGCCCATACCATCTGACCAAATTGGCCAAATTGTTACATATGCCTAAGAGTTCTGGAAACACAAACACGCCAGTCACAGGTACGGTGGTTGGCTTGAATGGAGTGTTACCAATGATTTTACCTGAAATCCTGAGGTTGGGTGAGATGCCTTTTCTGCTTTTCAGCTCTGACCCGCAAGCGTTGGGTTGGTAATGTGCCTGACTGACTTTCACAGCTGCTGTGCCCAACTGGCCACATGTTGCAAATTGGTAAGAGTGTGATTCTGTGGCCAGAACTCTCCCTGCTGACCTGTCTTCCCTCTCCCTACAGACGGAACCCTCTGCACTTCCACCTCATCGCTGACTCCATTGCAGAGCAGATCCTAGCGACGCTCTTCCAGACATGGATGGTGCCGGCTGTACGTGTAGACTTCTACAATGCCGATGAGCTCAAGGTACAAGCAGGAGGGGAGGGGTGCCCCCTCTCACCTCCTCATGCTGGAGGCTTTTCCTGGTTGTGGTTCAGCAGACTGGCAGTGGGTGAAATCTCAGCTTTCAGCTGGAAACGTCCAGGGTATAATTAAGGTCGTTTGCCACCCGGATCTGATTGACTACAGAAATCATTAGAGCTACCACTTCCTCAGCACAGAATCCATGTTGGTCTGTGCAGTTCTGGCCACCAGGGCTTTCTGTGGAGGTGGAGGCCATTGGCCTGGTATGCATCTGAAAGAGGTCCACGGTGGCCATTCTAGAGATTTCTGCCACCCAGTGAAGTCAGTGCTGAACTCCGAGGCAGATGGGCCTGGGTTGTAATTCGTATGTTGTCATTTACTGGTCTTAAGATACAAAGCAAATAACTTAGACCTTTGCTTCATCTGTTTCTCATCAGTGAAAAGGTGATTATAATATCAACCGCAATTGGATAATGAATAGGCAAAAATGAGAGAATATGTATGAATGTGCTTTAAAAGATTATGCTGAATAAATATCACAGACTGTGTAGGACCCGAGGGTTTCACCAAACAAGACTCATTTGGTCCAGTCATTTCCTTGCTGAAAACCCATCTGTTGTCCCACGTTGTTGCCTTAGGATTGAGATTCACGATCTCGTTAGGAAGTCCTGCTTCTGGCTCTTGACTCTTCTTCCGGTCCAGGTCATTCCTGGAACTCCATCCTGTTACTCCGCTCTGAGAAACCGCCTCTGGTCTTTGCTGCCTCTCCTGTGTTTGAGCCTTTGCTTATGGTGTTCCTTGTATCTGGCATGCCCTTCCACCTACCTTTTCACAACTCCTCCGAGAACCTTCCCTGACCTCTCCCGAAAAGAGGAAGACATTCTCTATTCACGTGTCTGTCTACCCCTTTAGTTTAGAACCTTCTTAATGGGGGAGGGGTCAGGGAGAATGTCTTACTCTTTTCTAATTTCTGGTGCACAGTTGGTACCCTGTAATGCTTGTGGATTTAACAAATTGCTGTTGTTAGAGGAACATGTACCTTTGCAGAAATATGTTGATGTTCTCTCTCCAGTCACCTTGGGAAGGACTAAACACCTAGGCATGAGGCTGATTCTAGCAAATTGCTTGTTCCAAACCTCATAAAGCCATTATCTTTTCATTTCAGAGCCATAACATTTTAAATAGATCACAGAGATGCCGGCCGGAGTTTCTGATTTTCCCATATTTCAGGCTCTGAGGTTGATCGAGATGTTCAGAATTTAGCATTTGGGGATTGTCGTGGTAATTTGTGTGCCATTCCAATCTATTCTGAGCTAAAATTGATTAACACTCTTAAAAGGGAAAAACAAAATTTAGCAAATTGCTTCACTAATTAAGGTGAAAGCAAGCCTCTCTGTCTCCCAGGGTCTAAGCAGCCAACACAGTAGGGAAAAGCAACGGGAGGAGAGGCATAGCGCCTGGCACACATCATTCTCCTTTTCTGGGCTGTCCTGTGCCAGGTCCCTTGTAAGCCTGTACACCCTACTTTTTAAGAAAACACAAAAGCGGATGAACAAAACCCCAGGTTCATATCCTCGCTCGCCATTCAAGGACCATCTGGGTTGGATTTCGAGCCCTGGCTCAGTCAGTGCTGGCCACCAAGGCAGGGGCTGAACAAGATAATGCCGGAAATGCAACAGGCTCTTGAAAATGCCCCACTCACTCCCCTTTGCAGCCAAGGCAACGTAGGATTAAAATACTCTGGATTGTACGGCCTATTAGGAAATCCATGGACCACCGGGAGACTGAAGGAGTAAGGCACCAAGGGCTGTACTCTCCTGGGAATCCCAGGGCTTCCCTGAGGTCTTGAACGAGATGGGGAAGGGAAGGTTGGTGCTGACTCTCCCATGGCCACTTTAATCCAGGCGGACCTACTGTTTATTACTTTACATACTGGATTTTTATCCATTTGAATTGGCAATTCCATGGCTTAAAACCTAAAAATTTTTTAAAAAGTCTAATCTGTTGTGTTCTAAAGGATGTTGTGTCCCATGTTCTGTTCTCTAGTGTGACCTTTGCTCCCAGCTACCCCGCACAAGGCCCTGGACACCTGCATTTTATCTCCCTACCAGTTAAGCACCTGTCTCCTGCCATCTTGTATCCCATGAGACTCTTGTCCAAATCCTGTAAGGGCAATGGGTGTGAAAGCATTTTGTAAACATAATTTGGCCATAATGGATGTAGTGATGATTTATGCATAGTCTGGCTCTGCAAACCCTAAACCATGATCTGCCTACTCCCCGCAGCCTGAGCGTCTCTGGGCTGTACCACCATCATCTGTCTACTTAGCTGTTCCCCAGAATGAAGAGTTCATCTTGGACAGCCCCTCTCCCTCACTGTGTGTCTGTCCGTTCCACATCCTAGCTGGTCTCCCGTCTCCCCTGCTCCCATCCCACTCTGAGCCCTTGTAACCTTCCCCCAACACAACAACAGTCTTTGTCCACACTAGTCTTTTCCCCTCTGCTCTGCTCACTCCGCCTCTCCCAAATGCTTTCTCCATCAGTGGCGTGAGTTGGATTACCCAACAGCATGTCCCACCATGCCATCCCTTCCTGTGCATAAAACCTTCCATGGTTTCCCTGTGCTCCTAAGATCAAGACCACAGTCCTGAGTGACACGTCCTTGGGCTTTCTGGCTCCTGCCTCCCTCCAGGTTCATCTTACTGTTAGCGCCATTGCTCACACACTAGATTGTCATGTCTGCTTTGCTCATTCCCTCCCATCGGGGGCCACTGCATAGGTGATTTTTTTGTGTGTTAACCTCTCTTCCCCAGCCTGCCTCCTCCTCCCCATTGCTGGTTAATTCCATGTTCTTCTGCTTAAGCTACTTTTACCCTGAGAAATCTTCCCTGCCTTCATAATCTCAAGAGAGGTTCCTTTGTTATAGGTACTCATAGGATCACCTACATATCTTCAGTAAACTCATCTCATCGCAGAACGCTCTTTCATCCCTTTGTGTAATAAGCTGGTAAATGTCCTTCTCTCCCCCAGATAGTTGGCTCCAAAGGGCCGAGATCACGTCTGCTTCTCAGCACCCTCCTATCTTAAGAGAATGCCTAGTGTGATGCCTGGTCTATGAAAATATTTGCAAAATGATGATATACAATAAACTCAGAGCTGGTTCCCAAGAGTAATAAAACCATTAGGAAGGGGTTTCTTTGTCACTGTCAGGGCTCACCACATTCGTGAGGCCCGTTGTGCCTCGGGGCATGGGCGGGCAGCCAGATATTTGTCTAGCAGTGACCCTGCAGTGGCATAAATAAGGCAGCTCCATCTGTACTACCCCGTGTAAAGTCCCCAGAGCGGCCCTGGGGACAGGTGAGTGTCTTTCCATGAATGCATTAAAACACCATCCATTGGCTGATGTTAGCAAAGGAAGAAGAACAGGGAGGGCAGGGACGCGTGCTGTGTTCTGCAGTGGCGTTCAGGAAGCATGTCAGATGGTACCCTCAGCAGACACACATGACGGCCTCCCCCGATCTGGTGCCGAGAAATCACTGTGTGCAGCTGTTGGAAATAGCATTTCTCGGAAATACTCCTGCGGGCCCCTTATTATATCTGTTAGTGCTGGAGAATGGACTAAGAGGGAAGAGGAAATTTATGAGGGATTGGAGCATGATTAAAAATGAACTGTGGGAAATTCGCAGTGGACTGGTATGCTTCTGTCAGTAATGACCAATTAGTGTAGATTTGCAAATAGTGATCGCTCAGCTTGCTTGTCTTTGTGGCCTGTGAAATGCTCATTGGTCTTCCTGATGTTTACAGGGCCCATTCATTTCCAGCCTCCAAGTCCCCATGTCAACAGGCGACCAGGACTGAGTGTGTCTTTGTGCCCTTGTCTCCACTCACAACATGCAGCTCCTTGCAATGGAGGAAAGAGGAGCTGGAGGTGGGCGGGGGTGAGGGGCTTCTTTCTGTGTAGAGCTTTGTAAATGGCATGCTGTCGCTCACTCCTCACGACACCCCTGCGGAGTGGACTGAGAAGTTCTATTACCTCCATCTCACAGATAATTTATAAATTGAAGCACGGAGTTGAGGAGTATTTGCCTAAGACTAGGCATCTAATAAATGCCAAGGCTGCTGTTTTAACTTTTCCCTTTCCAAATGAAACAAGATGAGATACGGGATTGTAGAATTCAGTAGACACGGATGTGGAGCGGATCCGAAGAGGAGAGAGGCATGGGCTGCGGCCACTGTGGAATGAAATTGCATTGAGTTGCACTTGAATGCAGAATTCCTGTTTTCATTGCTTCTGGACCCCATAGGCTGCAGTGTGACCGGTGTTATTGATGGGACACTTTGTTCCTTGTGTTTTGTGTGGTTCTTTCATAGAATGCTCGGAACTCTGTGGAGCAGGGGCTATTATTACCCCCACTGTGCAGATTGGGAACCTGAGGCTTAGGGAGTTTAACCCCAAGTCACATATGTGCCTCATACATGGCAGAGCCATGATTCAGACCCAGAACTACCCGACTCCACAACCCATGCTCTCCGATGTTGAATTTCCTTCTCAGTGGCTGACTTTTAAGTTGAGACCCTATAATTGTGTCTAGACAGGGGTCCTCTAAGCTGTCAGTGGTTTTATTTTTGTTTTTGTTTTTTTCTGGTGGTTCCTGAAGAACAGATGTTAAGCATGACCCCTCCATTAAAGGCCTACCCGGTGGCTCAGTCAGTTGCGCGTCTGTGGGGCTCATGTCATGATCTCACCATTCGTGGGTTTGAGCCCCGCATCGCACTCTGTGCTGACAGCTCAGAGCCTGGAGCCTGCTTCAGATTCTGTGTCCCCCCTCTCTGCCCTTCCCCACTCACTCTCTGTCCCTCTTTCAAAAGTATGTTTAATGTTTAATTAAACATTAAAAAAATTTTAATAAAGGCCTACTGGGGACGGAGCTGAGGATAAAAAGACACTCCACCAGCAATGCTGCTGAGGTACAGGGCAGTCCCACCACTTCCACCCATGGATTG